TATTTTTTATTTAAATAAAGAGTATAATCGATAAAAATAATAATCACTATTTAGTAGTATTAGTAATAAAAAGATAAATGATAAAAGAGAGAGAGAAATTCTTTTTCTCTATGTCACATGGATTTATATATAAACTTTTAATGTTTATGTCAGATATAAAGTTACGATTTATAATATCTACTTGTAAATTGATAAAAGTGATTATATTAAAAGGTCATAATTGAATAAAAATTATAAAAAATTAAAAGTTTCAAAAAAATTCGGAGATGTAATCTAGCGTGACAGACGGAAGATGTATAATAAATTTAAATTCATCTTATCTTTTGAATTATAGATTTGACGGAGACAATTCAATTTAAGCATTATATTAAAAAATAATTAAATACAAAATTGATCCGAAGAATCAAATTCGCTCAAATAAAATAATCTTTGATTACAAGTTTAAGAAACATTTATATATCAAACTATTAATGAAACCATCTTTGTGAGTGCAACAGAAATGAGTTTTATTGTGGGAAGTTCTACGGTGCAGCACCTTAATGTAAGGTGATATCGATTTTGTTATTATTTAAATAATTAAATCGGTAAAAAATTACCGGTAATATTATTATTATTGTCTAAAACGTCATTTTTTAAATATTTTCGGTTATTTTTTAGGGCCTAATAATGTTTCTAGTTATTTTTTTGGCGTCTAATAATGTTTCCGGTCATTCTTTCGAAAATCCGATTAAAACGTCCAATAATAACAAAACCGGTCATTTTTAGCGCCTAATAATATTTTCGATCATTTTTTTTTACTGATTTTTTATTTAAACAATAACAAAACCGGTAGCGTTTTTTTAACCGTATATTAATTTCCTTTTTAATGTAGGATCCAGTTTACTTGTACTAAAACTAACATTTTAACTTTGCAATATATGGCCCATCTTGAATTGAATGAATTGTAATAGGCCTGGACTGTAACTCAATGGTCAAGTCCCGCCGGTTCAGGAAACATAGAGTCGTGGTCCATCCCAATTAGATTTTACAATGTCATTTGTACTAAATAGTAGAGAAATATATACAATTTTTTTATTTATTTAATTTAATCAAAACATTTTTATTAATATATATAATAATATTCGTTATCATATAATACGAAAGAGGAAACATTAATCATATTATTTAAAATTGTTATATTTATTGAAATATAAAATTTGTTAAACTTTCTTTATTCTTTGGTCGTAATAACAAGAAAATTTTTGCAAATTTTCTTAATTCTACCTTTATTAGAGTATCTAACAAAATCATATTTATACTTGAATTGAAACATGTCTCGTATCATCAAATGTTCGATTAATTTCATTGAACGTTATAATCTTGATTATGTCAATATCTACGACTTTATAAGAAATATTATTTATCCAAAATAATATCGTATATAACCACAATTTTAGTCTTATTTACAGGTGAGAGGAAAGGAGACTATAGAGAAAGTAAGGGAAGTGCTCTTCGTGATAATAGAACCCAAGATCTAAAAGAATATACCGGAACAAAAAACTAATAGCTTGACCTATCAGCCAAATGTACTTATTTCTATCATCATTTTCTTTTATTGATACGTAGTATATGTAATAAATATTAAAAAAAACGACCAAGTATGTAGCTTACCAAAAATCATAATATATATATATATATATATCAGGTGGTTTGTCTGAAGTTTATTTAAAAAAAAAATCCCTGAGCCCACTCCCCCCGGCCTCTCCTCTTCTCTTGTGTCATGAGATTTATGCGTAATATGTTCTTTGCATATGCATCACTCTGCTATATTTGATTTTATGTTTTCAGTTCTACTGCTTTGTTACTCTGTCTCATATATACTTTCTGTTTTGAAGGAGTTTTTTTAAGCTTTCGGTATAGCAGTAATATTGCCGCTATTTTCCGTTACTCTGCTATTTGGCTATTTGCGGCCGCGACCGGCTGCTATTGTTGTGAGATTTATTCACATAGCTATTTATTCTTCAGCGATGGCGGACGGCGCCTCTTTTGTGAAATAGCGGCAGCGACACCGCTATTTGAAACCCTAGCAATTGTGAAGATAACGGATGGAGATGCAGTACGTTCACAATCTATTCGAGAGACTGCCACTTCTCAAATCCAAGGCTCCTGCTGTTAAATGGTTCAAAAGATGGTAAATTAGACCTCGTTTTGTTATCAATTTTTTTTTATTGCTTTCTGCTATTATTATTTTGCAAATTGAACTCTCTTTTGTTCCAGAGTTGTTTTTCATTTGAATGAGCTATTTTTTATTGTTTTGAGATTTCAAGTATGCCCATTTTTCATTTTTATCTAGCATACATGCAAATTGGATATTTTAACAAAATTTGGAGATGATTTAGTGATCAAATTCTTGCTTTGTATTATAGACAATGATGTGACCCAAAATTTTGTTTAGGGTACCTCAAGATGTTGTAGCAACGGGTGGAAAGTGCATGGTTTTGAAATGGGTAAATGGTGAGTTATATGTTCTTTTCTCTCTGTTTTTCTTTTATTTGCTACTTTTTTGTAATTGTGACCTGATTTATTTTCTTTTGCAATGGAAAAGTATACAGTTCCTATACAAAGCATTATTACTTGTTTAGATTTGGAATAGAAACAGATATTTCGTATCTATGTGGTTGTTTAGAGAAAATTGGAGGTTTGCTTTTTATATCATGTTTAGAAGTGCTTGCGAGGACTTGAATCCTAATCCTTTGTCAGTCTTTGTTTGGTGATAGAAATTTGTCTTTATTCTTTTTCACAATTGATTTCTGGTATTTTTTCTTACGAGGTTCCCTTAACTTTATTTTCACCACATCATAGGGTTGAAGAATAACATATCTCGTATGTTTGGTTTTTTAATTTTATTTTCAGTGATAGATTCTGTGGATACTTTCAAGGCCTTAGAGAGGAGGGGTGAGGTGATTATCCCGTAGAGGATTTTTGATGTCATATTCTTCTTCTTGTTTTTTCCAACCTAACCTTTCTTACTCAATTTGTTTTGTTTAGAGCACACCTTGGAGGCATTGAATGAAAGGGAGAAAGAGCAGGACGCACTGGAACCTGAACCAGAGCCTACTACTGAAGTTCTTTTCCTTTGCAGCTATGAAGGCTGTGGAAAGACATTTATTGATGCTGGTGCTTTGAGGAAGCATTCACACATTCATGGAGAGAGACAATGTGTTTGTCACTATGAGGGTTGTGGGAAGGTATGTTGTATAAAATTACTATTTCTGATGCATGATACTTTCAGATTTATTTTACGAAAGTTCCTCTAAAAATCGCGGTTATAATGAAGCAGTTCTAATTTATGCTTGTTTGGGAAATGTGGAAATGATTAATGTCACCCTGGAAGCGTTTCATTGGTGTCTGTTTCACTCTGTATGTGTGTGTGTTGGCAAATAAATATAGTTTTATTTGGTGGTTGTTAATGTGGTATACTGTTTGTTATTACTGCAGAAATTTTTGGATAGTTCAAAATTGAAAAGACACTTCCACATTCACACTGGAGAGAGAGATTTTGTGTGCCCACACGAAGGTTGTGGTAAGGTGGTAAATCTATCTCATGCTGGTAATCTTTTTCTTGTTAATTTATATACTATATGCTTGTATATATATAGTTTACATACATGTTCCATTACTTGTTTTGTGTATATTCTCTCTGAATGTAAAATCGTGAATTGGTCTATTGTAGACCATAATGGAACTTGGTCAAATTGCCAAGTAGAGCATTTGTGATTTTGTAGACGTAATTTTGCGTGGTGTTGCTTTTATGGGCATGGACATATATGCTTAAGTATAACATATGTTTGTGCTGTATATTTGTTCAAGTTCTAATGGTTTGATTGTGAGAATGACAGGCATTCTCTTTGGATTTTAATCTGAGGTCACCCATGAAAACACATTCACAAGAAAACTATCATATCTGTCCATACCGAGATTGTGGAAAGAGATATGCTCATGAGTACAAGCTAAAGAACCACATTGCACAACACCATGAAAAGGTTTGTGACGTTGCTGTCATAACATGTTCCTGTTTTATATACATGACATTTATGCCATCTTGTTAATATATTCACCTTTGCATTTGGTAGAACCCAACGCCGGAAGTGGCAAAATATGTCCCGCCTGTGGAGAAGATAATTAAAACACCGAAGTCTGCCGGCAGTGCCTATGGTTCTGCATCATCTGATCGCCCTTATGCTTGCCCTTATGAAGGTTGTGAAAAAGCTTACATACATGAATACAAACTAAAACTCCATTTAAGGAGAGAACATCCGGGTCACATGTCAGATTAGAATGCAGAGAACGCCACACCTAATGCTGACAACGAGATGGATGAAGGGAGTGATCATGATGCTTATGCTGGAAAGCGAGTTAATGGGAAAAGTCAGAAACAAAGTAGGGCCAAGCCAAACGTGAAGATGCCTCCTGCAAAGATTGCAAGGCAGAAAGGCATGAGTCCTTCCCCTGCCACTTTACCCATACCCAAAAAGCAATGGCCAGTTAAACAACAAATATTTGAGGAAGAAGATAGCGAAGAAACTGAAGAAGACCGTGAGAATGTAGAGGACGGATGGAGGTATCGGGAAAGCAATGAAGAGGACGACGAAGAGACGGAATATGAAGATTAGAGCAGACAAACATAGCAGTGAATAAATGTAGTGCTGGGTATTTAGCATCCCTTCCCCTCATTTGTTCAATTAGTGTGTCTTGAAATTATAATAATTTTTAATATTTGTAGGCAAAGAGAAGAAAGGTTTATAAACTACTAGTTTGTTTAATGAGATGAAGTGTTATACACCTTAATAAAATTAATGATTTAAATCTGAATTAAATGATTAATGGATCTAATATTTTTTAAAAAGATCTTTGATTGGTAACCCCAGCATCTCAAATTTCGTATGGCCAGCATTTAAAGCTACACAATCGTTTCCTCTACACTCAAACCTCATCTAATTGGCTTATCATCAACCGTCCATCCTGACCCCACCTTATCCACTCTCTCCTCCAACCCTTTCTTTCATTATTTTTTCAGCTCTTACTTCATTAATTTCAAACCTTACCTTTCTTGTACAGCAATGGCAACAACAGCCTCGGCCACACTGTCTTCACCCACATTGGCTGCCGCCACCGTCCGCAGTCCAAGGAGAAGAAGTGCAGTCAATGTGAGTTACATATCAGGATTGAATTCCTTTGGTGGGCTAAAAGCTCACAACAACGTGGTCTCCCTAGGCCAACCAGTGTGCACCGAGCAATCCTTTGCAAAGGTGGTGAGCTCGCTCAAAGCTCCGTCGAGGGGGAAAGGTAGAGGCGGCGGTGGCGCCTTGTATTCGACATGCAACGCGGTCGGAGAGATATTCAGGATTGCAGCAATCATGAATGGACTTGTTCTCGTTGGTGTTGCTGTGGGGTTCGTTCTCCTTCGAATTGAAGCATCTGTGGAAGAGTCTGAGTGAGAATTTAAGCAACTTTTTTTTATTGCTTCATAAATATATCTACTTTTTATTGCACCAATCATGCATATGTAATTCACATTCATTCTTCATGGATGTGGAACTTTGATTGTTTTCAATTTCCAACTAAATTGCACAAACCATGTTAACTCTAATTCCATTGCAGACTGTCAAATACTTGGCATCTACGTTGCTTTAACTCGAGTGATTGAGGATACATATGCATGTTCAATGTTTGTTTTTAAACTTATATCTAAATATATCACATTATTTATTTCTAGTTAAGGGTTCTCGTATGAATTCAACTATATTATAATTTCAAGAGAGTTCAAATCAATTTGTTTTTAAAGTTATTTTGATGGATTATTAATTACTATAAATTTTTATAATCAAATCTAGAATCTAATATATAATATGTTAACTTTTTAAAATACAATCGTCGCTTGGCTGACATTGTTATTATTGCAACACTCAAAAGATCATAGGTTCGAGTAAAAGCGTAATAATCTCATGTTGTAGGATTTTTCAGTTACGCAGTTGTGGAAACCCCCAACGACCGAAAATATAGTGTGTTTATGAGGTGTTTGGTGTCGTTTCAGTACTGCATTTTGTCTTACGGGACCCTAATAGAGTCTCAAATGAGAAGAGCATGATTCATAGATCGTTAGCTTACCTCGTATGTTGAGCCACTGTGTATGGTTCACCTAAATTGTTTGACATAGAGTCACAGGGACCAATTGAAGGGCTTGGAAAAGTTGAAGGAGCAAATGGAGAAGAAATGTTCAATTAGAGAATGGAATAAGTGAAAGAGGCTCTCATAAATATCTCTGCCAAAAAACTCGAAATCTAGGATAGGGACTAAGTTGGAAGAATTGTAAAGTATGGGAGGCAAATGAGTAATTTTCTAAAATAAGTAAAAATTCAGAAGTTTCAATATTTTTCATTAAAAGTATGATGGATATACCAACAACCAGTTGGTCTAGTGGGATGAAGCATTAAATTCCTTAAGTAAGGTCAATGGTTCGAATCTTGACGTTTGTGAATGAAACAAGCTGGGTTAGGAGAGTCACCGTTGTCTTTGCAGTACCCGATCTATATTAGTCAATCAATAGATCGAATACTAGTGATTAATTCAAAAAAAGTATGATGGTTATTATTTCACCAGTCTTGAAGTGATTTGGGTCCAAAAAGAGGTTAAATTGAAGAGAATACAAAATTTTAGAGATTAAATTATAAATTTTGCAAAATTAAAAAAAATGAATTTGAAGAATCTAGTTCATTTCTAAATATTAGTTATGGATTAAATTGAGATAAATTTAGATGATGAAGCCTAAATTTATTTTTTATTAGATTTTATTCTAGAAATTATGGAAAAAGAAAAAAGACTAAATTATAACATGCTTCAAATTAATCTACCACATGATATGTTAAACTTTAAAAAATTTATGAGAATTTAATTATAAAAGTAAAAAAAAAAGTTGAGAAAGTTGATGTTGAGAAAAAGAATAAAGAATTAATGTATTTATATTAGTTATGTATGTAAAGTAAGTGTTATTATTTAGCTATATGATTTTTTAATAGTTTGGGATGTTTATAAACAAGCTCGTATTTGAGCATAGGCAAGAGAGACACCTGCCCAGGGCCCCTACTTGCCCGAGAGTCAAAATTGTAAAATTCATATATAATTAAAAAATAATAAATTATTTGTTTAGTTACTCATCTATTATTTTATTTTTGTTATTTTTTTAAAAATTATACTTAACGTTAAATTTTAATTGTGTTGGTTATCCATCATTAAAAATCAAGAACGATATTGATATGATATTTTAAAATTATTTTTTCTTTTCATTAAAATTATTATTTTTATTTTTTTGCTATTAGGGGTGCACTTTGAGCAATTGTTTATGCCCCTCATTTTGTATGGGGCTCATAATTTTTTATAATATTGTTTATTTTGTAATTTAACCCTTTAATTTTCTTTAATTTTAGTTTTTTATCCTTATAATTGAGGTCCCTAATTTTTGTAATCCTACATTTTATCTTTATAATGGTGGCTCTTAATTTTTTTCAATCCCATTTTTTTACATATATAATTAATGATCTTAAGTTTTTCAATCCCACATTGTACCTTTATAATTAAGCTCCTGCTTTTTTAATTCTCGCTTTTTTCCCTTTATAATTGAGGTCCCTAATTTTTTCAATCCTATTTTTTACTCATAATTTAGGTCCCTAATTTTTTTCAACATCACTTTTTACCTTTAAAATTGATGCCCCTATTTTTTTTTATCACTTTTTACCTCTATAATTAAGGTCTCTAATTTTTTCAATTATACTTTTTACTTTTATAGTTTAGGCCCCTAATTTAATCATTTTTATACGATATATTAACGTAATATTAAATTAATTATTCAAAGTATTAGAATATACTTTCATTTTATAAGGGTCTATCTTTTAGTTTCGCTCAGGATACTGAAAATGTCTGAGATAACTATGCATTTATTAGATAGTTTATTAAACGTACTAAAAAATAATTTACAAACAAATTTATTTTTTTGTTGCTCTTACAATTTAATTTTTTCTATACTTATTATTGAATGCCTAATTTTTATATTCGTCCCATGTCACTGAAATTATATAGCTTTGCCTTTCATGCAACTTGAGATGTCAATATTGAAATGTCTGTTTTGTGTACGAGTGGATAAGGATGAACTTTTCCTCTCCTTTTCCAAAAAGAGAGAATTAGTAAAGGAATTTTCTTAATGTGAAATTATAAATTGCATGATGTGAAATCTGTGGCATTTTCTTAATGTGTTCTTTCCTCTCTGTTAATACTTCAAGATACTACTGCTTCGCTCTAGATTTTGTTAATTCTATCCAGTTGCCTCTCTGCTAGCCTTCTTTTTTAGCTGAATACTAATGATCAATCTACCACTAAACTAGTTAAAAAATTCTTAATTTATAAATAATTTATTTCTCCACTCATTTGATTTATTAATCGATTATTCGGATTAAATATTATAGATATTTATGATAGAAACGATCTTCTTAACTTAATTTACTCCGTTCATAATGTCATAATTTAAATTCGGTTTAAAGAATTTTTAAAAATATCTCAAAGACACCCTCTCAAATATCTTCAATCGCTTTACCATTTTGGCCACCATATATGTAGAATTGTAGCCAACAGATCTGTAAACGTAAAGGCTCGGTAAACCCTTTTGTTGCTTAGCTCTCTTGCCACGTGAACAAATTGAAAGTTGCCAACTTTTCTAGAGAAAACAAAGAAAAAAAAGGGGGTCCTTTTCTTTCCAGGTCTACATGAGATATTCATACACAGGATTGGTGAAATATCATTTTTTTCCATTTTAAATGTATCTAGGGGCGGACCACGCATGGACATGGGTTTTGCATCATGTCCACGTGGATTGTCCTTTTCCAATGAGTCAAAAAACCGAGAGATTTGGCACCGCCATTGAAAACTACAGGTGATGTTGCAAAAACCACAACCCGGAATTCTTGGTTTCTCTCGTTTCTTATATATTATCCCTTTTGCTTCCCCTCTCTCAATTAAAGAAACAGAGAAAAAGCAAAAGCTTATAAACAAATTCCAGAGGGAAAAAAAATGTCTGCAGTTGTTGGTGAGTGGATAGATGAGGTAGCAGCGAAGCTTAAAGAGAAGGTTCAAGCAAGAAAGCCTTTCATGTCGATGAGGGCTAAAAAAGAGCAGCAGTTCGCCAAGGAAAGTGGGGTTGAAGAGAAGGAAGCTTCAAAAGATGATGCTAACGAAACTACAATGTCAGAAGCTACTGTCTGTTTGCTTATGGACCGGTTTGTACCTTGGTGATTGAAGAGAAATTTGTAAACAAGTTTCATATGTCTATGCTGTTGTAAATTAGAGTTGTTTTATTGTAGATATTGTTCGTTGTTAAGTTCATGGCAGCTTTGTTTTGACTGTTCCTTTGTGTATCTTATTTCCCAGAAAAAGTTGAATCTTTTCTTGGGAAACTAGTAAATACTACACACTTTTCTTTCATTAAGATCTTCAAACAAAACAGAAACAAGTTTCTGCAACTACTTGTAATCATTTCAGCACTGCTGAATTCCAAGCACCTACTTCTGAACTGAACTGAACTGATCTTATCAATATCATACCTTTAGCCCCTTTGCTTCATTTGCAGTTGATCAATTTTATCCTGCACATAACATAATATAAGGCATATGATTTATAAATCAACTTTGTTTCCATGTTCCAACTTCCAAGCAATGGTTTTTGGCATTTGAATTCATATTTGCAGGGAAAGCATACCTTGTATTACTTGAGCAGTTGGGGTTGCCATATCCCTCTCCATGTCAAAGGGATTTGGTTCCAAATACACTGCTTTTACCATTTCAAACCCTCTAAGCTGTATGGAAGAATAGATTTTGCATCAGTTGATGAAAAACCATTAATGATTTCTAAAAACTGCAGAGCTAGGAAGAAGAAGATGTGGATCATGTGGTGTGTTTATCTACGTATTTTGTGTTTCTGGCCGGTGCTAGTTAGCTCGTTCAAAATGTACTTCCTTGCCTTGGGGTTTGAGCATAATGACTTGAAATCAATAGGCTCATTATGTTCCATTGCCCAATCTTCTAATGCCTTCCTTCCAAAGCCACCAGAAATGACTCAAATCTGGTCATTTGAAAAGTTACAAGAAACTCGTATTTAGGGCCATGTAGGGAGTTATGTGCGACTGGTTAAATAGTTATATGTAGAACGAACGACATACCGATGCAATAAGAGGGCAACTCGGGTATGCATTCTCGATGTTCTTGACTGCAACATATTCACCTTGAGAAAGCTTGAATATGTTCTTTTTCCTGTCAATGATTTTCATCGTTCCATCTGGTTGCAGTTCGCCGATGTCACCTGCAACTATCTCTACTTGTCTATGTCAGTAAGTCATGGTTAATAAGATCAAGAAAATATTGAAACATTGATACAAATATACCTGTATGAAACCAGCCATCAATAACAACTTCATCAGTTAGGTTTTGCCTCTCGTAGTAACCCGAGAAAAGGATGTTTCCCCTCAAGCATATTTCTCCACACGGAGCACATCGAAAGTGCATTGTATCCCATCTCTGGCACCGATTCGAGCCTTGCTTCAATGGTTGTCATTGGAACCCCAACAGTTCCAATCATAGACATTACATTTGCAAGGGAAGTAAAACACCCACCACAGCTCAGTCAAACCTGTCGCATTGAAAAACCAGAAGAACTTTTCATAAATTTGTTCAGAAAAAAATGTTCAACACTTGTTTGTTGTTACCATATCCTTGTGACAAATTAGAGCAGCAAGAGACCCTCAGAAACTCCTCCACATGCCTCTGCAAAGGCGCTGCACCGGATAGCATTAAACCAACTTTAATGCTTGTTTTCCCTTCAAGGAGTACATAAACTTCAGCAAGTACATCAAGGATCTTAATCAGAATAGAGAAACAGATGCAATGATCGAAAAACAAACCTTTTCGGACAAGTTTATCCAAGATAGGATGCTTTGTCTTGTGGGAATCGATTCTCCATATTTCTTAATTTGCTGTTTTAAGCTTTTACATTAATTGGACTGTAGACTAACACAATCAAGTAAATCGCAACCAGAAAAAGGGTTACCAGTAAACTTACTAGTTATAGGCATACTGGAACAACTTATTCCAAAGTAGACCACCAGACGCAATTTTGTTAACAACGCCTTCAAGAACAAGTCTCAATGATATTGCTTGAGAACTTACAATAACTGATATCAGCAACATGAGGTTACATTCTTAAAGAGAATCTGTCGATACGTACCAGTGTATATGCGGTCATAAACTCTTGGAACTGTGCAAAATGCTGTCGGTTTTAGTTCCTGGACATCGTCCATTAAATAACGGACATCCTGCAAGTAAAGAATGGGAAATAGGTCCTACCCCTTGCCAAAATCCTATTGAGGAACTTCTTTTGATGAAATAGGTTTCCATCATCTGATCATAGACGTGAGCCAGAGGGAGGAAGGAGAAATATGTATCCTCTTCTGAACACTACAATGCAATTTATGTCATCAAAGTGGAAAATATCATAAACATTATGACCATGACTAACTCGAAACACTTCAATCCGACAGATATGGCCATTTTCGATGCTTTACTTAAAGGGATGATGTTAGTTTTCTCACCGCTTTGTTTGTAATTCCTGTAAGTTGATCTATGGACAAAACTTCTGTCATGATTGTCCTGCTTGTGAGAATCACTCCTGTTGGTTCTCCTGTTGTTCCACTTGTATACATTATTGTGCATATGTCAGTCTTCTGTTTTTGTGGAAGTTTACAATCCAAAGAACCCTATCAAAGGTTAACTGGTGCTGCGGTCGATACATAATTTATTTAAGGGCACGACAAAGTTTAAACATGTTACCAGCTCAGAGAATTCTTTCCATGAAATGAGCGACACACCGAGCTCTTCCGCTTCCTTCTTCTGCGTGCTAGAAACATTTGCAAAGCTGATAATAGCTGAAGAAAGAAGATAAATACTTCAGTTGATGAGATTTTGCTGTAGAAAATAAGTAACCTTAATGTCAAAGCTCCTAATTAATGGAACCTGCACTTACTTTTTAAGTAAGAACAACATGCTGGAACACATGATAGGATCTGTCCAGGATCAAAAAAACATAATGCGAATCAAAACTTAAAATGAAATGCAGCTGAAAAAAGAATTATTGTCCCTGATAATAAAATATTTATAAATTCAATCTGCACTTACCCGGTGATTATGGGGTTCACCGCCTGGGCCCCATCTCCTTCTCCTTCGTTATCATCACCGTCGTCGTCTTCGCAGTCGTCTCCTTCAAGACTTCCGATTGACTTCAGTCCACCGTTGATCGCGATGGTGGTGGTGGTCGCCGCAGCATTTCTGATCGTTATGTATTCGCGTCTGATCTCAAGACGGCTCGTTCCTCTAATTCTCCGTCTACTCAACTTCTTCTGTCGCCGTCGCCGTCGTCGGCAACGTTACTTAGCATCCACGACGACCGACCTTGACTCTCTTCCGCCTTCTGATCCGTTCGATCCCCCTCTTTTCCCTTACGGCCTCGATGACTCTGCCATAAAAACGCTGCCTCGTGCCCTCTACACTTTGAAAACCAGACCCAACAACAGCCCCAAAGACTGCGCCGTGTGTCTGTTGGAGTTGGAAGACAATGAATATGTCCGAACACTCCCCGTTTGCTCGCATGCGTTCCGCGTGGATTGCATTGACGTTTGGTTGAAATCACACGCTAATTGCCCACTGTGTAGAGCTGGAATTTTTGCTAAGGAATCTCCTTTCACTCCGTTAATGGCGGCCAGAATCCGTCCGAGCATCGACGATCCCATTTTCCTCGACAACACTCTGGAATCCCTGACTGAAACTCCTCTCCAATCTTTTCCAAACAACACCATAACGGATATAACGGAAGAGCCGTCACCGAGAAGAACGAACGGGATTAATAATTGCGAGGAAATATTTAGTTTTGTGTTGAAAAGGTCGTATTCATTTGGTTTCGAGAGGAGTTTAGCGGCGGAGAGGATGATGATAACGGAGCCTAACAAGACTTCGCCTTGGAGGTACAGGAGAGGTGGGAACGGGTTTTGGAGCAAAAGGGCATCTCCGTTTGGTTCATTAATTATAAAACCCAGGGTTTTCTCTTTTAGATATTACAGAGGAGTGAAAGCTTCACCCTTTTTTCGTCGGAGAGGGTTTTTTCCAATGTCGGAATCGAGTGTCAGGTACTCCGGCGGCGGAGGCTCATCGAGAAGAAGTAAGTGGATGGCGAGTCCCATGTTTTTAAGATCAGCCGCTTCAAGCGTGGCGGCTTTCTCGTCGAGCCGGCTCAGCTGCGGCGACCCAGAAGCACTGCTGTCACCGGAGAGGTTCAACAGAAGATAAAAAGAAGCCATTTGTTCAGAAAAGAGAACACAGAGTACACGTGGACGGTTGGATGGAGAGAAGGACGGAGTGGAATGGGGCATTAATGAAAGGTGGGGAGGGACAATGAACGAGGAAATTGACGAGACACGATTTTCTGAGCTTGAGGATTGAAGAAGAAGGTGGTGAAGGAGAAGAAGAAAAACAAGGGAAAAAGGGGTGGGCATTAAATGCAGAGATGATTGTGCTGAACCAAAGGGTTCTTATACTGCAATGGCTTGGCTTTTTGCTACTTCTTTCCCACCGACAACATCTTTATGGGGATTGCAAATATATCTCAACCTGGAATTCATTGCCTTCATTTTGCTTCTCATTTTCTCTCTACATGTGTGAATTCAGAGAAATTAAATTTATTCCATCACAATTACGGGTTCAGATCCAATTCAATTAAAAAAAAGCTAAAAATTAATCTAAAATAATCGAAATCGATTTAGTGGGTTTATTTTTTTTTAAAATTAATTGGTTTAATTCTGTTTTAATTTGAGGTTTTCAAAATCAAACCGATAGTCTCTTACAATGATTCATCTATGTCCAAAGATGAAAAATCTTGATTCTATCTACAAACTATTATTGAACTATTAATTTGAACAAACTTCACAAGCTTGCATTTGTTAAAATATATATTCTCTTTATAAGCTTCACAAGCTTGTATTTGTTAAAATATATATTCTCTTTGCTTTTGTTATACATATACTATTTTTTTAATGAAAAAATTCAAGAATTATTTTGAAAAATTAAAATCCAAAAACCGCATAAATCTAAACCGAATAAAATTGCACTTAATTAGATCGGATTGGATTTTTTTAGAAACATCTAAATCGATCCAAACCGAAAATATTTATACTTTCGAATCGGATATTTTTTATCTAAAAACCGATCTAAATCGACCACGAACACCCCTAATCACATTCCCCCTTCTCTCCTTTATTTGTATTTTACTTATTGTGTCATTCTTGTAGTAGTGAATACACAGATTAATAATATTCAACACTTCTCATATTGTACCACTTGAGCTAGTGCAGTGCTCTTATTATGCAATTTTGACCGTTTATGTAAACAAAATGATTATATAACTCGTTGACGGTTTATCTCTTTAAATTTGAGTGGAAAGTTATATTCCGTAAACTTTTAATAATCGATCAGTGTTTAGATCATTTGTTTTTGTAAAGAGATAGAGGACGAATTTATGAAGAAGAATGATTTCAAATCTTTCTTTAACAATGTGAGGTGACTTATATATCGATCTTTAATGTTGATGTTAAATTTAGGATTATAATGAATATCCTTACTAACATGATGAATAGACTTAGTTGTCATTCAATTATGTGGGTATGTTAGTGGTTTATTATAAAATCGTAGTTAATCAGAGGATATAAAACTCAAAAGATTTCAAATTTTTTTTTATAGAAAATATGAAATTTTGAAAATACGACCTATCGTGACATGTAAAAATGTTAAAACAACGATCAACACTTCACGTATTTTTTTGAATCTAAATGTTAAAATTGTATTTCACAAGTTGTAATCCACGATGCTATTTATAGTTAAATAAATGTGCAGTGTAAAATGGGTAACGTCAATAAAAGGAAATAAGAAGAAAGAATGACAGACGAGCAACTAGAAACACATCATATGCACCTGCTCCATCTAATCTGCTACATATCTATTACGTCCTCATCCCTCATTTATCTGTTACTGTTGTCTGGATTAACTGCATAGACCTCCTTCGGTTTTATTCTTAATTACACTCCACTCCAATAATTTATCAATTTCTACAAACTACTACTCGATTATTTAGACACATTTATAAGTGCCGTCATCTCGTGTTTCATTCATCTTGAAACTGGAGGAAAATAATCCATTATGGAATGACTGAGCTTTGAGTTTAATCAGAGGGAGAATTGACCCATTAGTATTTTACTATTGAAAGTGATAGCACCTAGATCAGATTTGCAGTGATAGAGGCCGAGCAACCGATAATGCTAATAAATGAAATTTGGATGCTTCCTGCTTTGCCATTTCACCTTTTCAATACCTGCATTTACTCATTCAGAAAATTTTAATGAGTTCTCTTTTACTGGTAACTGCAAAGATTTATTGAGAATCTTAAATAATAATGGTGGTGAAACATATAATATATGCTTGTACTAATAGTATGGAATAATTATAAGATATATATATTTAAAATTATTTTTAGTCATTGACAAATGCACAAATACTTTGTAGATGTAATTGCTCTAACTCTAGAATCTTAAGATAAATTATCACTCTATTTTACTACCGAAGTATAACGGGTTCAAAAACTTTCTTGTTCTCTCTTTATAAAGGAAGGAACATCGGTAGTTTCGTCGATTTAAACAAAGAAAGGGAAGAATGCTGTGCCAGTCTAGGGAATTGTGGGATCTCAGGTATCAATGATCATACATCTATGATGAGACAGAATTTTCAGATACCAAAGAAGATTGGATGCAAAATGGCGATGGATGTGGTACCAGGATCTTTGGGCACTAGTGTTGGCTGTTCTTTGAGATTAGGACAAACCCTTTTTTCTTGTGCTTTTCTTCTCTTCATGTCTTTGGGAGTCGAGTTCTATAGCAACACTGCTCTCTGGTATGTATCTACTTTTTGTTCGCTCTGTTTTGCTGGATTTGTTGCTTTAGATTGAGCAATAATTGGACTTATTTTAGATGATTGTTATTAACATTTCAGCTATTTGGTGGTAACAATCATGGGGCTGGTTATTCCATGGAGCTTGACATTGGCAATGGTGGATGGGTACTATATTCTGGTTAAATGCCCTGTTCGTCAGCCTGGAGTATTGGTCATAATAGCTGCAGGAGATTGGGTATGAGTGGCTAAGCTTATGTTTGTCGGAAGCTATTTGACTCGGTGAAAGCTGATAATACGTTTGATGACAGGTTTTGTCGGTTCTGACACTAGCCGCAGAATGTTCCACGGCTAGCGTCGTGGGTCTCCTTTTTCACTCCGACAGGTCCTTTTGTGCTCCCAAGTGTTGCAGTAGATATCAACTCTCGGCTGTTATGGCATTTCTCACTTGGTTTCTTTGGCTTCAGCTCTTCTCAATCTTTGGTTACTACCCTCCTTGTAATTCTCTAGGTCTGAGAATTTGTTTGTTTTCCACTATAATTGTAGCATCTCAAGGTAAATATAGATTACTGAGAGGCTTTTTGGAGCCACTGCTGTACATTGAATCACACAATCATAAACTTAAGTGAACAATTTGGACATTGGAGATGTTGGCATCTGAATTCTAAATGTTTGGTACAATGGTAAAGAAATAATTAACTAAAACATGTATCCTATCCTTTTCTCTTCGCCAGGCACAAGGAGCTGGTTGAAAATTTAATCGGTTCATGGATCCATGTCGGGAAATGAACCATTGAACATATACTTGGTTCTTTGGAACTCCAGCAGAATACGACTGTGTACCCTCCAAGTTAATCTTATCAATTTCAGAAACAAAACAAGAGCTTAAATTTCTATGTTCTTGTTGTAGAAAACAAAGCTCAGCATCAAAGTTACATTTCAGAGAACTACTAGAGACGCAAACCCAAGCCTCACACTCTCACAACCATGAATCTATCATGAAGCTGGGAATACTTGCACAAACTGCTTTATTACTTCAATCACGATAGCAGCACAGACCTGCTTCCATCTTCATGGCCGCATTGCTAAGATTTTAACATACAAGTAGGCAAGTAGCATCAGTTTGTTGCATCACTGAATATAACAGAGGGTCATCATCAAAGTATACAACCTTTTTGCACAAATAAAAAGATATCTGCTTTGACATGAAACCAAAATTTCTGATGCGTTCTCTCAACAATTGACCTGAATTACCCAAAATGAATCTCAATAAAGCTAAGACAATCACTATCTAACAACAGAAGCACAAATCTCAAGAGCAACTTACCATCAGTATTCAAACAGGTCTGCTTCCACTTCTAAGATGGTAGACTTCTAATTCTCTTCCTCTTTTTGAGTCTCCAAAACCTCCTTTCTCAAAATTGCTACCATTTCCTCATTTCCCTGTCTCAAATAACCATCTATAAAAGCATCATATATCTCCAGATTTGGCTTGAACCCTTTACCCACCATCTCTGCTTGAAGCTTTAGCGCTTCCTCCATCTTTCCCTCCGCATTAAAAGCTCATAACTTGTCCCCGTCGGAAAAAACCAAATTCTCTCACCGCCTTCATTATCTCAAAAGCTTTAAGTACCATACCTTTATCACAAAGCCCGCTAATCAACAGTTCAACAGTTAAACTCTGTGGTCTAAAATCTTTCCTACACATATCCCTGTATATCAACATAGCTGAATCGATATCTGCAATTTTACAATATCCATCAATAAGATTCTCATAAGTAACACAGGTTGCCTTTATTCCATTCAATCCCATTTCTCTGAACAACTCTTCAGCTCTCGTAATCTCTCCCCTTTTACATAATCCATTGATCATCGTATTGTATGCCACAATATCAGGCTCTAATCCCTTAACTTTAATTTCCGCCCATAAGTCCTCTGCTTCTCTCACCTTCCCTTCCTCACAAAAAGCTGCCATTAAAACGCTATAACTATAACTATTTGGGGCAGATCCCAAGCTCTCCATTTCACACCAAACCTCTCTCGCTTTGTCCGATAGCCCTTCATGATAAAAACAGAGTATCAAAGCGTTAAAAGTATGCACATTTGGCCGGACCTTAAAAGCTCTTTTCTTATTACATTCACTCTCAGCATTACGTACTCCAAAAGCCTCTTTATAAACCTCATATCCCTTATTTGCTCCATGACATTTCGAAAACTCCGAAATCAAAGCATTACAGGTACTAACCAGGGGGCTAATCCCTCTAGACATTAACATTCTAACAATCTCAATAGACCCATCAAGCTTTTTCATTTGCAAACAAGATTTTACCAACAAATCGAAAACAAACGGGGCAGAACCGCAGTCATTATAAGTTTTAACTAACGATTCAAATAGTTTCAAATGAGTGGGTTCCTTTTCAATACCTGGGGTCCGAATCGCGAGCCGGATGAGTTCCCGTGCACGGGTTTTGAGTCGAGCACGGGAGAGGATGTGAATTATGGTGGAATAGGAGGAGAGGTCGTGGTGACAGAGTGATTTTTGTTTGGTGAAGAGGAAGAAGCAGAGGGCAAGGTGGGGATTGTTTTTGAGTTGGAGGGTAATTTGGGAGAACTGGGAAGGGGTGAAACCGGAGGGGAAGAGAGTGAGGACGGTGGACCAGCGAGATTTGGAACGATGATGGGTGAGAATGGAAGTGACGGCGGAGATTGGGTCGGATTGATCGGACGGTGGAGAAGAGGTGGTGGAGAAGGCGGAGGAGGAGAAGGAAAAGAGAGGAAGGAGGGGTTTAGGAGTTGCGGAATGGACATGGTGTTTAAGAATTTGGTTAGCCATTGAAAACAAAGGAAAGTTCTTTTGGCAAAGCAGGGCAAGATTTTTCTGTTGCATTTGTAGAGCTGTAATTATTAGGGTGACCTTTATATAGTCATAACAGTGTCATCTAAAATTATTATAGTAAGATTATGATATCCGTGATGATTGCAATAATATCTATTATGTCAATAATCACGATAAATACGACTAAACACTAGATCACAACCGTGATTTAAATATGTGATAATTGAAAAACCACTGGTAAAACTTCATTGCAACTAATTAACAATCAAAGTAGTTTTATACACAACGATTGGAAGTAATATCAAATTAGCCGCAACCATAATTTACATCTGGCTTGGCAACAATAGACTCGAATGGTACTTCAATCCTCTCTTTCACCAAGCATCGAGCTTATCCGTCCTCCATTACCAGGACTTTCCCAGGTGGGCATAGAGCATTTGACTTCTTCCCTTCAGTCGCACGTTGATGACTCATGCCAAAAATCTTGACATGGTTTCGTTTCCCGATGTTCGGCATGAAATTGGACAGGCTTAATATGTACATTACACCAACAAGGGGAAGCCAAGTCTTCACTGCCGAACTTATTAAGTGGCCGAATCCTTTCCTCAAGCTTTTGGACTCGTCTTGCTTGCCATTTTGTCTCGGGTTCTTTGCTTCATTCGTAGGGTCGCTGGTGGAAATCCCATTTGGAAAATACTTGTATGTTGACTGTAAGTGTGACAATGAGCTGTTATCCAAAACCATGGATCGTGGGGGGTAACTCGGATATGGGGGAAGGAGGAGGTCCCTGTTATTCTCCACTGTTTCACTAAAGAAAGCAGAAGCCTCGAGAATCACTTCCATGTCCTTCCCTTGATATTCTTCGAGCTTCTCCAAGACAACTCTCCGGCTATAATCGATCTCAGCAAGGGCAACTTCCTTTTCATAACTTTGCTAATGTTGCAGATTCTGTCAAGAAAACTGAACTTCTAAACCCTTTTTTTGTAAGAAAAACATGTTATCAACACAAACGTCTCTCTATTCCAAGGGATACCCTTCTATGCATACAAAGGTATATAGAGCACAATTCAATTAATCGGCAAAGAAACGAAAAGACTAGCAACTAATCATTTGTATTCATTCTTCCTCGAGTAACTTCGTACAGAAATATGTTACTTAGCGCCTACTCCAGAAAAAAACAGCAAAAAGATGTCTATAATGGTTAAGCTTGCATATCTTTAATTCAACAATGACCTAGTGCTCCACTTACAAATCAGTGGGTGGGTGCAGTGCAGCCATGATAAAACAGAATGCCTTTAATCATCACTGAGATTTCCATACTACTAATCACATTGCAATTGTCTTCTCAATGTTTTTTCTTCTAACTTCTAAAAGTTCAACCAGACACAAAAACGTAGTCGCTAAATAATCGAGTGTCGAGTGACTTACTAAAGAAAGGCTGAAACCCAGTAACAACCACTTTTGCAATGCTGAGTTTTAGGTTTTTCTTGAAGATACCCAATAGTCTATGACAAAGATGCTGATGCTGATGCTGATGGAAATGGGAAATGCTAATTTCAGAAATTGATATGATTAGGAAAAGCCAGATATCTTCTTTCCTTTTTGTTTTACTTGAACTAAGAATCAAGGTGAAATCAGTAGACAAATACTGGACCAATTTCTATTCATTTCAAACAATCATCATTAACCATTTATGACTTGTGAAAGAATTAAAGGTTTAGCTTCACCCCGGAGATTTGTTCTTAAGTTCCATAGCATAAAAAACAGACTTGAAATTGAATCTCATGGGAAATTTTCTTTAGTTTCACACATTCTCATGCATACGTATCCTTATCGGGGTTGTAACATGGAAATAAAATCTGGGTTTTTTCTTCAAGGGCTTAGGGTTTATAACTTAAAAAACTAACATTTAACAAAATGGGGAGAGGGAGAACTAAGATTTATGAGGTACTAAACCTGTAAAGCAAGGAGTTGGGATTCAAGTGATTCAAGGGCATCTCGAATATCCAAAAGCCTCTCGGTTGTTTCTTCATCATCTTCTTCTTCATCCGCTCCACTTTGGTGAGAATTAAGGTCTTCGTATCTATTCATGCTACCATTTTCATCGGTTTGGTTTTGTGGGCTTTGTTCGCAAACAGGCTTGGCGGCGGCGGCGATGGCTTTTGCGATGCAGTTGCTGATTTTCAATCTTAGCTCCGTAGCTCTTGCTAATGCTAACCCTAATCCCTCTTCTTCCATCTATTTCCCTCCACTCCTCCCTGGTTTCCTGTTTAAATGGCAAAGAAACAAAAGAGAAGAAGATGGAGAGGAAACTGGGATTTGTTTGTTAAGAGACCAAAGTCCTTTATTTTTGTCTTTCGACTTAGGAATTAGGTCGACTTGAATTGATGTGGTTTGGAGTCGTTATTGACCATTTTAAAACGAATTTAGGTGGGTCGGACACCATCTTACATGATATGTGTTGTACATGAAATATGTCGGGTTCGGGAGTCGGTTACGATCAAGGAATGATTAACACCCTTGAACCGCCCTTTCAGTACCAATTAATTTACCAGTTGTATTTATTTGCGAAAATTAAAATTTAAAAAACTCGATTCAAATAATTACCTTTAATCGATTGAAATTATCACTGAAAATGCCAAGAAAATGTTAGATGAAAGAAATAAGAATAAACACGAAGAAAAAAGAATTGAAATATATATGTATGTACAAAATTGATGAAGAAGGAAAAAGAAAATAATAAAATAATAAAAAATAATAATAAAATAATAATAAAAGATTAGTTAAAAAAACAAACAAATAAATAAGAATAAAAATAATAAAAAAATGTAGTAAAGTAAAATAAACAAATTAAATTAAATTAAAACCATGAAGGAAAATATATAAATAAATAAAAACATAGAAGACGAAAATGAAAGAGTCATAAACATTATTACCCAAATTCGAATGTTAATAAATATGACACAATATATAACAGAGGACTAAATTGTAAACGAGAGAAAACAAATGCCCAAAACAGAACACTAAAACTCCATGAAGTGATTAAACGACCATATTACAGAGCGTGGGGGACTAAAAATGATATTATCCCTTTTATGTTCAAAACACGGAAAGTTTGAGGCCAAAACGACGTAGCTTCGCGTTTGGTATATAACTCTTATCACACAACTTATTTTCCTCATATATTATCATTTTCTTCCTTACCTCAAAACCAGAGAAGAGAGAGAGGGGAGTGAGCTATCCCAGAGGCTTCGACCGAGCCCATAATCTGGCGAAGTTCTACCGCCTCCGCCGTCGTTGTCTGTCGGCGAGTGCCGTCCGCCGGCACCGGAGAATAGAAAAGGTGTCACCTTTCGACGCGTTCTTCAACCCCGGATACGAATCCGGGCTTCGTTTTGCCTAGAAACGCCTCAAAGTTCGTAGATCTACGAAAGTCCTTTCGTATTTTGTTTTTACTTGGCTTCGGGTTTTCCGAATGGTTCTGCTTCTCTTGTGGTTATACTTGTACTTGTCGATGTGTTGTTTTGTGGTGGTTTGGTGATATTTTTGTGGTTTTGCTGTTGTGATCTTTGTTCTCTGTTGATGGTGTTCTGGGACTGTGCTGTTTGGGTACCGTTGATGCGTACTGTGGTGTGGGTATTTTCTGCTGTGTACTCCCGTGGTCTTTTCCTTGGGTCTGTTGTGGCCTGATGATGGTCACCGTGGGTTCGTGACTCTCTGTTTGGCTGTGCGTGGCCGTTTGTTCCCGTTGTGGGTTCTATTGGGTTTTTGGATTCCCCTAGTTGTTGATATGTGGTGGGGTATTTATACCCCCACCGGTGCTGGTCAGTTTCCGATGATAACGGGGTCGGTTGTTGGCCAGGGATTTCGGGATGGGTCAGTCCCGATCTCCTCGGCCGGAAATCTCGGTGACCGGTGTGTGGTGGCGTTCAGGCTTCTTGTAACTTTGATTTGATCTTGACCGTTGGATTGGGTCAGATCCAACGGTCCAAGATCGACCGTGGCGTGATGGCTCTTTGTGGGTTAAACAAACCCCAACTCCCTTGCTATATTGGCCGTTGATCTCTTTGTTGATCCAACGGCTCCTGTTGTGCGACGTTGTGACATATGCTGGAACCCTAGTTTGACCTCTGGGTTGGATCAGGCCCGTTTGACTGGATTTGGACCTGCTTTTGGACCTGAAAAAAAACAAAAATAAATGAAATGAAATTAAATTAATAAAAAGAAATAAAATAAAATAAAATAAAATAATATGAAATAAACTATATAATATATATATTTCAAAAATATTTTTTAGAAAACTATATACTTTAAAAAAGTTTTCAAAACTATATATTACATAGTTTCCAAAAATGTTTTTAAAAATATTATATAAGTTTTCAAAAAAAAAGTTTTTAAAACTATATATTATATAATTTTACAAAAAATGTTTTTAAAACTATATACTATATATGTTTTCAAAATGTTTTAAAAACTATATAATATTTAAACGTTTTCAAAATGTTTTCAAAATGTTTTCAAAACTATATATTATATACGTATTTTCAAAATGTTTTCAAAAAAACTATATAATATATAAATGTTTTCAAACATGTTTTCAAAACTATATATTATATATATTTTCAAAAACCATTTGCAAACTATATAATATATAGACGTATATGTAAATAAAAAAATGGACGAAAATGAGCGTCTACAATTTTCTTTTCTTTTTCAGGAGCGTAAGGCCAAGAAATTGGGCTGATAAACCCAAAGCCCCAACAGCAATTTGGAAGAACAAACTCTAACCTCTGCTTTACAAAAACAAGATTATGTGGGCTTTCTCTCTGCTACCTATGGTTCCTATGCTGCCACTTGTGTGAAACCAAACAATTTGTCATTTTCTCTTTTCTTCATTTTTCTCTCTTACTTTGAATCAGATATTGCTGCATGGTTTTGTAAATGGTATTTGTAGATTGGATTTTACATAATCCGACCTAAAGACAGTTTTTATATGAGCAAATTGTGTTCTAGTTTTGGTTCTTTGTAAATGATCTTATCCACCTTCCCTTGTTCTAATTAGTTATTAGGAATGTTGAAAGGCTGCGATTTTAATCGTAAGACTTACCAAGATGTTTCAGTTACAATATAATATAATATAATACACAATAAATTCTTGCATTTACATGCATACAAGAACTTCAAACACGATTAGGAATGACAGCCAAATCACAACCTTCCTAATGGAGTAGTGTAATGACTATCCATCTTTCCTAAACTTGTTTCTTCAGCTCATTTGATCCTTTGAGTGCATAAATCTACCAGAACTGAAGATTGAAGCCAAAGGGTTTTCAGAAAGTTGCAGTTATGATTCATCTGTCATTCGAAAATTCCACCTTGTAAAGCACCACCTCCTGCATTTGAATGGCAATCACTGAGCTAAGTCTTTTGAAAATAGATATCGAAATGTAAAGTTGTGGGAGATCCACTCAATGGTTTTCCCAGTTTTCCTCTTGGAAGATGGCTGGAGATTCTTCCTCTGTGAAGCAGGCATAAATTGTTCAACCATCTGCAGCAAACCAGCTGAGCAAACATTTGAATCTTTTGCAAAATACTCCATAAGTTTTGGTAACGTAATTTTCTGTTCTTTGTTGATACTCCAATTCTCCTGGATGTACTCCTCTTTTGCAACTTCCAGCTCCTGGAACACTTTCTTTGGTGTGTATATACGGACCTGTAGTGATTATATAAATTGAGCATTAACATCTTAATTACCCTGCTACCGTTAAATATGATCTCAGACAGAAGGATGTAATATGAACTAATTCAAGGCAAACAGCAGCATACCGCAGGGTCCGAATAGCTTCCCGAACAAAGTGCAAAATGCAGAAGAGGTTCTTGAGATTCGATTGCAAAAGCTCTTCGAGGATCCCCGACCTTGAATTTCGTCTTTGAAGGAAACAAAAACCGTAGCCACTGCAAGCAGATGTAAGTTGTCAGTTCTGTCATGATAAAGGAGTACCTGTCCGGGAAAAGAAAAGTACCTGTCCGGGGCGAGGCAACCGACATCCCAGAATAGAACTCTGTATTGTGTCTATGCTTATGGTCTGTCCCCCCACATCATAGGCAGCCTGTATCATACATAGACTCGTAAATGCAATGGTAAACATCCATTCCATGATCTTTGGTTAAATTAACCAGAAAAGCTTTCCTTTCCTTGAGTAACAAGGACAATCTCTTCAGATTGTTTTTCGGAATGCCGTATACCAAAAACGCCTGCAAGAACAAAACATGCTGCATTTGCTCAAGGAACTTATAGGGAAAATATATAACAAAAAATTAATATAAAGAATATTTTTTGGGGGAAACATTACATGCATCACTAGAGAATTGTGTACATTGATCCAGAAAGCTAGCTTCTCTTCATGTTTCATCCTTCTAACAACAACTTCTTCGAGTTGATAGACAAGTGACCTATAAAACGATCGATTTAGACATGAGAAATCAAATACATGTGGGATTGATAAATTGATAAATGAAGCTCACCTATAATATTGGAGCTTATGTTCAATATCCTGTAACTTCTTACTATCTCTGCAGATCCATTGAACCTTCATCATTGTGCAGTAAGGTCCACTGTGTTCCTTCGGTTCCCCGATGCTAAAAGGGTTGTCAAAATGTGAGTTGAAGGATGAAAATTTCCCACACTTTGGGCTCCACGTATTCGTATAGCCTTCACCTTGTGACGAAACAACACCAACATATGATGAATGTGAAATAGGAGAAGACAAGTAATCATGGTTAATCAAAGGTGGATCTGCAAGTTCACAATATATGGCTGAAATGCTTTTGATCATCTCCTCAGAAAGCCAGTTTGGTGTTTTGGTCAGGTGATCGTTAATGCCGGTTCCAAAATGCTCTGCCAAGTTGAATCCATTTGAAGAATCCATCTGAGTTTTCTGGAAATTGAAAGGGAAAATAAAATCAGAACTCAAAATATCATATGCATTGATGTCTAATGGCATTGATTCAATTCACCTCCAACATGGACAAAGGCAGAGAATGGTATTGTTCTACAGCTTTAGCTATGGTTCGTTGCGGAGAATCAACCGAATATGCTGATCGCTGAGACAGCGAAGAATGGCTCCGATAAATGCTAGAATCTAAGAGTTTTGCAGTACCCCAAACATCGTTGCAATCCTTCGGAGGATTTCCGATTGAATTTCGAGAGGACACAAGATTACCAGATTGAGTAACTAAATTTTCTTTCTCGGAGATGATGTCATGCATCTGAACCTCTTGAAACATTTCTTTATGTGCCATTGATGTTGGTTTCAGATTTTCATCTGTGGTCTTTAAAGACAAGAATGTTTTATCGAAATTTTTTCGGTACAATGAGAGAAGATACTTCTCCAAGTGGGCAACTTCCAGTTCTAAAACTGCAATATCCTTGATAAGTTCCTTGGCATCCTGAATTTCATGAATCAAGTACAAAATCAATGGAGTTTTACCCCTGCCAAATGTAATTAACTAATGGAAAAAAGTTAATTGTAAAAAAAGACGGTAACAAATCTAATGACTTTACTTTGGGGATTAAATTTTCAACTTCTACACCATAGGTGAAAGGCCTATGACTTAATGCCTTCTCCAATGTACTCCGAACCACAAACTGGTCCAGCAATCTTTCTTCAAGCTGTAGAATCTGCAGAAATATGAAAATGGAAAACCAAAAACTTTGAATATATATACACATATACATACATAAATGTAAAAATCGAGAAATTGTACCTGCTGCTTCAACGAGTTTCGAACTTCAATGTTCGAAGTCCCAATCTTAGCTTCAACATGAACCTTTATTTCTCCCATTTCTTTCTATGTAACAAAATCATACAACCAAACGAGGAGATAAAGACTAGAAGCTAGTAACACTTAAAAGAACAACGACGGCGACGACAACAACAGGAACTCTTACATGGTGATTAGAAGCTTCAAAGATTGTGTTTAACTTGTTCTTCTTGACCTTTTTCTGTAAGGGATCACTGCGGATGGGGGAAAAAACTGTATGTTACAGGTTGCAAACAGGGTTGTCTGATCTTTTCAAATATTTCATCTCAAAGGAAGTAACTTTTATTATGATTTTCCAGCAAAAAGTATGTTGGGAAAAAACACAGGCATGCAACGTTTTTCCAGTATAAGTAAGACTAATTAAAGAGAAGAAGACAAAAAAGAGATAAAGATAAATCAGATTCAAACGTACCTGTTGGAGCGTTTGTGTGTTGTTGCTTCCATGAACTCCAACTGGTTCAGATAAGCACCCCGCCATTTTGCTCCAGGCATGGTAAAAAATAAAAATGGTTGCTTTAAAACTAGAATAGAAAATTCACTGAATTAAATGCACCAAAGATGCAACCATCAGATATTGACAAATTCTTAACCCCAACACACACAAAAAAGTAATAATATATGTACACCACAAGAAACATACAAAAACCAGCATTAATTGCAACAGAATAAACTATAAAATCTGGGGTTACAAGGTACACGATATACAATATGATGGAATGAGACTATTCATTATAAGTTGACATAAATAACAAGAATCATTGTAGTTTTAACATGCAGAAACATTAATTAGTGTACAGGGGGTCAAGAAGATGCATAGGAAGAAGAGCTATATATGACTAAAAATGAGCTGTATTCAAATATATATGCATGAAAGCAAAGGGTAGCCATGTTTTTTTGACTAGTCCCTTGTCTTAGAAAGCTATACCACCTTTAAAGATGACTTTTTGGAATGGAGAGGTGAGCCCTTTTCTGCAATTGCATTAAAAGAAGGGTATAAATCAGTTTTTGTTGTGCCTTTGTGGTGGCTTTTTTGATTGAGCGATCAGGACGATGCCCTATACCAAAAGGTTAAACTCAGGCCACTTTTAAAAGGAGCAAAGGGACAAGAAACAAGGAGTCGACTTGGGGTATACATAGCAATAGTTCATTGGTTTAGTGGAGTTTAATCAGTTGTACATTTCATTTTTCTCAGAATATTCACTCTCTACTCAATATTGAACTCAAATTAATATTGCAGGCTTAAACACACTTATTATATATTCTTTTGTAGATGGTCTCTGGAAACATTTGAACGACCAGTCAAGGTATTCAGACATATCTCTCCATCTATTAGAGTTTACGACTAGCTTATATCCTCTAATTACATGATTCTAATCAAGTACAATATATGGATTAGACCTCTGATATGTCTACGTAATGCGTTAGAATGAAATTCAAAGTCTGACTATTGAATCCATCTAACCCATCAATCTACAAATAGTCATAATGACCCTAGGACTACACGAAAACTAAAATTCATGATAAATACCCCAACTAAGACTAAAAAAGGGATCGTCGCCCTCACGTTATCTTATTCATACTCATGATTCTCCGTTTAAATCAAAAGAGTGAACCGTTAACGGATAACCTTATTGTCATTAACAAAACTTAAACTTGTATATTTCCTGCTGCAATAACATCGATATCAATCATTCTAAAAACTCATTCTGCATGTGTACATATTACCATGCTTTTATGCATGAAAATGTAACTTTAAAGAACAGTTTCATGGAAGAGAAAAGGTACAGGTAGTAAACACATAAGCGCATGGATGGAGGCATGGGGAATCATATGTTGAGTGAGGTAACTTTTATTTAAAAAAAAAACTCTTATTCGTGCAATCATGAATGCGTCACACGTATGGGTGCATTGTGACATGATGAGTGTAAATGCATGGTTGGTGGGTGGGTAGGTGCACGTACCTTTTAAAATAATCAAAAAGGGAAACCCAAAAACAAACATCAAAAGGGCTGAAAGTTGAAGGTCAAACAATTATTACAATTTACATGTTTTTGTTTGAAAAAAAAGACTGCTTTCTTCCTCAATCACTTTATCTTCAATCCCTTTTTAGAAGAAAAAAATTCATTAAAGACCAAAAAGATTTGATAAAGTTTTATAGGTAGTTCTACCGTCCGACAACATAATTTAATATTAAAAATAATAATTTTGGATACAATAAAACTGTGATAAAAATCATATTTTGAATAAATCTAAAATATTACAAAGAATATAATATTTTTAGTTGTCAATCGAAAATATTATGGACAACTAAAAATATTATGTAATATTTTCGATAGCGCCCAGAGTCATCGATTTTAACCTTAAATTATGTTGTCACTCCCTAGACTTCCCTAGTTTTATACATTTTAAATAAGGATTTTTCTTCTTTAATTTCGTCTATCCTTTAAAAAATTTCATCATCAAAAGGCCCTACTCGTTTTCGTGCTTGTGCAAATACGTATTTTTTACTCGTATTATGCACTTTTTTTCCAAATGAAATCCGTATATATTTTTTCATATTCTGACCCAATTTTTCATTTTCACCTTTAAAAGTTTTGCCCGTCAAAAGACTCGACCTGTACTCGTACAAATACGACGTGTCTTCGACGTATACCACATATTTTTCTTCTTTATAAACAGACATTCGTATAATCTTTCATCTCTTTTTTCCTTTCTTCTATTTTACCTACCCTTTAAAAGTTTTGACTATCAAAGTACCTTACGAAAACACATCTGACGACTATTCAAAGGATACTTATTCAAGCATTAATCCATAATAAGTGTTAATTCGAGAAATAATTTATTTTTGGGACATCTAAGAAATAAATGAGCTTAAATAGAAAAAATATGATTAGATATTTATTTTTAAATTATTTTAATGTACGCAAACATTAAGGTGCCAATCAAGTGGTTGTCTCTTATCTAAAATTTGTGAACCGTAGAGTCATGTGCTTTGCATGGGTTGTTGTGCTATAAACGGAACAAAAACTATAAATGTTAGGGAGAAAATAAAAAAAAAGGTAACGGAGATGATTAAATCTATAATGTTGTAATACATATTCAGTATGAGGTTATTAACGGTATGATGTTCTTCCAACGGTTTATGCCAATGATAAAACCATATGATATAATTAATTCATGAAAAAAAATTGCTTTTTAGTTTAATCATAGATATTTACTTTATTAAGTGATTATTTTGAATCAAATACTATATATATTTATTATGAGATAATATTTTAGTTCAATTTATTTTATTTACAACATTAAGAGCGAAATCTTAATTTTACTTTAGAAGTATATTACTCCATCCTATTAAACCCATTAATTATTGATAAAAATATTATTTTTCCTATGATAATAACCACAGCATAATTTATATTTGAAAAAGAAGTTCGGGATTTGAACTTCAAATCAAGCAAAGGAAGAGTCCAGCAGCAGAATCCACGAACTTGAATCTTCTTTCACGTGTGTCAGAATCAGACAACCGTAAGAAGTCAGAAGAAAACAGATTAAAAACATATTGTAATGAAAGAAAGCAAGGGCATCGTAGTTCGTTGTTAAAGAAATGATGCAGCAGTTATCGATGGAAGCTGACAGACATGCCTGTGACTGAATTGGAAGAAAAGAAAGTGGAGCTTCATTTATCGTGTTGTTTAATCTAAAACCAACAAAAATTCCACCGATTTCAAAGATTTAGAGCACCAAAATTTTAGACAAATTTTGAAAAACATGAGGGACTAGAAGAAGATGCTCCGTGTCTTCAGGATATTTAGACAGAACCTTTGGCATTTCATGGAAGCAGAATCGAATCTCAACGTCGAGATTAGCAAAAAAAAAACTGAAAGTTTCGTTGGAGAGGGAGATTTGACCTTGAGTAGATACCCAAGAAGAGACGCATGGAAAAGAGTGAACTGTGAACTTTCCAAACCCTAAAACTGAACAACCTTAGTCAATGCTAATGATAAGAGAAAAATAAAAAGAGTTATCTGCTAGTTTCTGAGCTCTTCTTCATATGATGTTGTCTATTACATTGAGACAAGGAATCATCTTGTCCATTTTGAAAATTGATGGACATTGAATTTATGAGCAGCTGAACTTCAAAGTTTGTGTGTTGGAAGAAAAACGATAAGCCTGAGTTTTTGTGATTGGGGTTTTCGATGCCATGTTCTTGGTTTAATTACCTAATGCCAACAATGGAACCACAACAAGTATGTGCCAGACAAGGTTTCCAAACCATTGGAGCATATGCAAGAAACTTATCTCTTGTTTGTTTCATCTCATTATCGTATTTATATTTATATAATCATCTATATTTGAACTATTAATCAATTAATTTATATGATACCTTATGAAGATTTATTATAGAACAGTTATCTTAATTGTTAAAACTTTTTCTCTCATGAAGATTTATAATGAACTATATTTGAACTATACTATTTTCTCGCATGAGTCTAATTCACAGAATAAAAGAACAAAGGGAATTCTCTTCCATGAGAAAGTAAGGCAAAGGACTAGTGCTCAACCATAACCGATCAAACCCCATTACACAAAATGAGGATCTTTACATATATATTTGTATTTATCTTCAAAGAAGTTATGCCGGCAAAGGTGATCGCTGTCCTATGAACTCCCAAAGCTGAGCGGTCGATCAAGTGAGTAAAATCTCTATGAACATATATGAGCTGCTGTAATCTTCATGCTGTACGAGATGTTGTAATCGTCCTCAACAGGGACGAACGCAGGAGATAAAAAATTAATCATGAAATGCAGATATCCACCTGTATTTAAGCACGTTCTTAGGGCATCTCAGAAGATCACTTTCTAATCTACATTATTGGCTACAAATCACTATGCAAGTAACCTTCGAACGTATGAGAAAAAAAAATCACAACCTTCCAAGTGTCAGAGAAATCCATAATTACAAACGTTCACAATAAATATAACAAATCATGCACAGCGGTGAAAATGGTTAAACAACTTAATAATTTCAAGCAAATGGCAAATAAGCACCATAGATATTTCATACAACTTTGGAAAACTACCCGGAATGTTGATCATGATAATCTGCTCCATCTTCTAATCACCATCACTGCACAGAGGATCGACATTAAGATCAGACCCCAAATCTAAGCCTAACTGATTCCCGTTTGTGTGAAAAGCCATGGTTACAGGCTTACAGCTCCTTGATCAGGTTACTCCACATTATCCTTTTTCTGCCTCTTCCATTTCTTAGTAGGTACCCATCCTCGAAATATTCTTCTTCTTCTCTTACTCTATGTAAACAAACCCACAGTTTTTTTCTCTCCATCAAACAATCAGTTAAGATATTGGTCAACATGATTAAATAATGACAACTCAATACCCCAACTTGTCAAATCAACTTTTCGTGAATGATGGTTAAAGGCAAAATGATCGTTTTGTTTACTTTTCGATAACATTAGTGACAGTTTCGTTAATTTTAAAACTTGAGTAGTAAAAAGAAAAATATTTTCATACTTGAATGAATATTTATGTAATTTAGCC